TCCATCGCAAAGTAATACAATGCTTATGATCGTGAATCCGCAGGTGCCATGAGACTCAGACAACTTGGTTCGACTCAATCAATCGCATTTGTGGCCCCTCCAGAGGTCTACCGAAGCATTATGAGCCTCGAGTCGCGAACTAAAACATCCAACAAAGTCAACTCAATCGATGTAGTCCGATGGCTGCTAGAGCAAAGTTGCAAGACCAACGATCAGATGATGTCGCTTCATATATCACAAGGGCTTGACTACATTCGCCGCACAAATGCCTTTTGGAAGGCTACCAAGTCGCTGACGGATCGAGTTGAAAGGATCAGGCTCATGAGGGCTATCCGAGAGAAGGAAGACCAGACCCTCGAGCAACTATATGGCCCAAGAGTCAATACCGATACCAATGCGGAACCGATTGAAACAAAGTCTTTGCGCCTCAAGTCTATTCTGTCTCGAATTGCTGAAAAAAAAGCCACACTCTCAAAGGAGGTGGCATCCGGAGATAGCACAGCCTTTCAAGAGGTGGAGCAAGAGCGAGAAGTAGAATTTGAAGTGGAACAAGTCCGGGAAAGACAACGGCCAGAAAAGCTGCAAGCTCTTGCCTTTCCTGGTGTGAGTGAACAGCTTGTGCAGTTTGTCAGGAACGGAGACCTTCCAGATGCCAGCACGATTGTTCAAGCCTTTGCCTACATTGGCAATACTGTAATAGGGAAGAAATACGATGTCCGGGAGACTTCGTCCCAACTATTCGTCTCTAAGCAGTTCACCAAGACGGTTGCCTCTGGTGGTTCCAATACAAACAGGGGGCTTGTGGTAAGTCAGATGATCTTTTATAGACTGAGTCCGTGTGTCTGGTATTAATCATATGGAACAGCGTCCGGTCGAATGGATTTTGTGGTGTCCTGATCGAGAGACCGGCATAATCATCATACCGGAAGAGGCCGAACTCCTTCTCCCAGTGCTGCGAGGCGAAAAACAACCAATTACCTGGTTGTTGAGCTACTCCGCCCCACTCACTAGATATATGTGTATATTCAATCGGTTGAATTTTTTTACAGTGCCCTCTCCGCGCAACCGAGAATTCAAGGTTCCTCGGTGGATGACTTTGGAAGTTGGAATTGTTTCTGCACGTCTCTACTTTGGATGGCTCGAATATAAGGGCCTGCTGGCTTGGTTAGGAATGGCCAAGGGTGCCAAGGGTGAAGGGACCGCCAGTCAATGCGGCGGACTGCATCCTGCAGAGGCAAGGAAGTTTTTGCTCGATTGGCTGAGCCACTGTCACAACACTTTCAACGTACTTCATACTCCAGTCGGTTATGTGGCACAAGGCAAGGAGCTGCGCCATGATCACTCATTCTTCGGTGCCTCCTCACTGGATGAAGCTGATGTGGCGGCCGCCGCCAAAGCAAATGGCGCTGTTTCGTCCAAGCGCGTGGGCAGGGCCCTAGACGGCGCCGTTGACGATGATAGCGATGACGACAGCGATTGGGGGATTCAGCATGGTGATCAGGGAGAGGACGAAAGCTCTGCTGAGGAAGATGATGACGAAATGGATGTGGACGACAGCGAGGAGAGCTCAGGGGACGAGATGAGCATTGATGATGAGTTTTGATGTATTGGCTAAAGATCTTGGTCATAGTGGTCCTGTTTGCATTGGCGGAGTTGAAGTTGGTAAAAGTCTGTAATTTTGTTTGAATCAAATGTTGGAAATTGTACTATGGCTGGTCCCCGTGCTTGACTGTCCGATTGATCTGCGCTAACAAGAGCAATTAATCACTCTCTACAGGCTTGCGATGTGCTTCCTACAACGTTACGAATTTGTGTTGCACTACAGATCAACTCTGGGGATTTAATTCACTTGAATACGGGGATTGACAACACTTGATCGAAAAGGTTTCCCAGTGTATGAAGAGACGCTCCTTCCCGCGGCACCACCCGAATGTCAAATTCTCTCCGCAGGGGACCGACCTATCACAGGAAATCGCCGTGATGTGGTCACAACACATGGATACTTGTTGAAACAGAGTGAGAGGCTGACGGCAGTGATGGGTCACGTGGCTAGCAGTTCTTGCAGTTCCCACGTGACGAGCCAAAAGGGAAACCCATCTACGCCTTCACACTTTGGAGAAGAGATGATTTTGTACATGGGGTAAGAAATGCGGAGAGGGCGGGCAGCGCATGCCGGATCTAGTATCGCATGGCCAGGAATGTGGGAGGAAATTTCGTTGAGGGGCCTCCTACCTGCATGGGCATTTTCACCCTGTTTTGGAAAATGGCAATCCAGTTCGTCGTGGACCCGACTGCCGGTTGTCTGTCACGGTGCGGCTCCCAGTGACCCCAGGGCACGTGATTTCCCTCACGAATTCTCGGTCAATGGCTCGGCATCTTTGAGGCTGTATTCGCAATGCGTTTGGAAGTAATCTGCTCGTTCGCGTGTCAATCTTGGACCCTGCAAAGGCTAGCAGAAGCTTCAGCGAATCCAGCAGATTGGGCGCTAGAGGGGAGACTCAGGTGCTAGGTTGGGGTCCCTGGATGGAATCACGAACCATGCACGTGGCCAGCGGCGATTTTGTATGGCCTCATTCTTGGATGGCAAGCCAGGGGGGGGATGAATGAGTAATCGCTCCGTCGTCTTCGCGCTTGTCAATCGTTTAAGCTTCAATGCTTGAAGCTACCAGGAGGAGGGAACAGCCGCTGCGGAGCATTCAAAACCGTGCGCTGGTGATCCACGCTGCCATCGCTGCATAATGTAAGCTTAATGGTGGTAATGCACATAGCATCTTGGCATAACATGAGACACCAAACCAGTACCCCAAGCATCGGCTCTATGTTTTATCCGCTGGATTGCCAGCCCAGACCTACGTAAATAAATTGATAAAAAAAATACCAGCGCATAATTCAAAGGCTATAGTAAATATTGATATTTTTCATTCTAAGGTCTGGGTATCTTTGGCTTTAGTACATGGCTCAAAAGACCTTCTATGTCACCCGTTTGAGGCCTCAACTGCCAGATGGCGGTGCAGGCCTGCCAGTCCCAAGCCTGGCAGAGGTAAAGGCCCAGGCCTTGCTGGATGGCCTTCAGGGGCTGGCTGGCCCACTGTAGCAGGTGCACTGGTCTAGCGCCCTCAGACTGCGCTAGTTCTGATTAGGAAAACAATCTCATGGGATTACGCTAATCCCGATTTCTCGGATTCTCCACTTTATTTCTTCACCATTGCCTGTTAGTGGACACCAGCGGCAGCGCCCGTCCACTAGGATCTGCACTAGCAGCCATACATTAGACCAGGAACCAAGCTGAGGCACGCAGCCTGACTGACGAGCAAAGCACCGTCTCCGTGGCCATGGAGTGGGAGTGGGCGTCGGAGCTCGCTGGTTGGTGGCATGGGCATGAGCATGGGCATGGGCGTCGGAATTCGCCAGTCTACCGTCTTGGCTGCCGCCGATCACTCTCAGGGACCCTGTGGTGACGCTCTCTCTGCGCTGATGCTGGATCATATGCCTTGGCCCCAGAGGGCTGACGATGGCTGTCTCAGGCCGACGAGCCACCAGAGGGACGCTCACGGGCTGATTGGTCCCTACATGAACAGCAGCAACACTAGCCGCCTCCGTATCACCTCCTGGCGTCCCCGCTGAGCTGGCTGCCTTTTGTTCTCCAGCAAACATGCGAACCATATCGTCTGCCTGTGGTGGGCACCTGTCTGCTGCCCCTGATGGATACGAGACGTTGACGTAGGAGGCGTGCTCCCACAGCTTCCGATGAGTCACTCATGATCTCTGCTGCTGTGCTGCCAGTGTACGGCATGCATACCAGCTCTGGCACCACACCCACATCCCACGGACAGCTGGTGGAGTGCAACAACGCAAATCCATACAACCGGTCAGCGTGGGGAAATCTGGATCTCTGCTCATGGCCTGAGTCTTTGCTCATGCCTAGAACCTCTACTCTGGCCCGAAGCTCCTCTCACTCGGCCGAGATACCCGCTTGCCACTCCAATCCCATTCTGCCAAGTTCCAACATTGTGGCATGTGGTGCTGATTATCTCAATCCAGTCTGTGGCTCTCTCGCAGTGACCTCGCACTCTTACGACGCTTTGGACGGGACATCTCGGCACCCAACTGCGAGCAGCACCTCAGCCCCCCGAATGCCTCCTGTTCCCTGCTCTACGACTGATCATCCGCACCTCCCGTTTGATTGTTCGGAAGCTGAGAGGGAGCTAGATAATACGCAGCAGCACGCTAGACCCCACCACGGTTTGAGCCACGACGACGCCCAACAAAAGCAAAGACGGGCTGGAGGTTGCACAGCGTCGGTCGTATGCGCCGTCTCGCCAGATGCACCGTGTGTGCGTGCGAGGCGTTCAGGAGCGCTCAATTCCAGGCCACAGACGGAAAATTCCCAGAACCTCACGTCGTAGACACACAGGCGGGACGCAGACACTGAAGCAAGGCAACCCAGGTAGTTGTTTCCATGGCCCCTTTACACTTGATGTTGATATGCTTTTGGCTCTGTGCTCTGAAGCTTTTTCACGCCGACACAGTGTTCATATCTGGTGGCTTCATCATGGCCCCTTGCCCGTCGCTGCTTCAGGACAATGTGATATATCACTCCCTGCTCGCCACGGCCTTCGCCAACCTTCCGCACATCCCATCCCACCGCGCCAAATTGCGCCCTGGTCGTTCTCTTGCCATTCTTTAGTCCGTCTAGAATCCTAGAAGGGCCACCCCTCCACCGGGAGGCCCGAATGACTGGCTACGGCTTCACCATGCCATGCAGCCAGTCGTCTGAGCGCTCCCACCCCCGTCACATGCCCTGCTTTGGTCGGCGGCCAACAATGCCTGGCGGATTGAGGGCATATACGTTCAGTCTGAGGTGTAGTTAGCTTGGTATCGTAGGCACGGACGGCCTCATGCAACGCCCATATATAGCCAGCCTCCCACCTTGGACTCTTCTCGATCTTTTCTTCCTCTCATATCCTGCACTGCTCGCGACGGTCGCGCCAGAATCAATCATGAACAACAGCACAGAATCAACCATCGACAACAGCGACACTTGGCCTGACTGGAGGCTTCTGTCCAGCCAGCTAGATGGAGTGTCACCAACCGAAGCATTTACATGCCGTCTGCGCGTCCAACACTCAGCCAACCAGAGCTCCCAACCAGAGCGATGTCGCCTATGTGCCATCATCTGGTTCTGCGTCAATCGCGGGTAAGATTTCTCTATGGCAGCCAGTGGTAATCAAAGCCAAGTACTAACGCATCATTGGCTACTCTAGAGAATACCGATCCATCACTCGTCTGAATGAGCCTGTCAGGGCCTGCTTGGCAGCGAGGGAGCATGAGCTTGCACGCAAACTTGCCTCTTTCATCGACCACAACAGACGGTCATTCCCAGGAGACGGCGGAAGACGGGCCGGGCTCGAACGAATCCTCGCAAGGAGGCTTGATTTGCCCACGCTACGTCGCATGCCCGCATATCCTAGTGATTTTGCAGAGGCTTACGATGGGTAGGGGTTATGGTGGTCGGAGTTTACTTTTTTGAGCAACTAATTGTCTCGTGTGTTTCTTTTGTATTCCTTAACTCTCTTTTCCAATTGAAAAGAAGAAGAAAAAAGTCGGATTAGCTTGAATAACATTTGTTCTGTGCCGCCGCGAGTATTCTCTTTGTTGATCCACCTTTCGTCAGGTGAATTAAAAAAACCCACACATCCATCTTCTTCTTCCCCGAAAGAAGGAAAAGGGAAAAAAAAAAAAAAAAAGAGATAAAAAAAGAAAATAAGAGAAAGAAACCGATAAAGGAAGAAGATAAGGAGAAGGAGAAGAAGAAGAGAAGATATTCATATGGAGGAATTCTTTTTTTCTGATAAATAAATGATAATATTTATCAATATCGACCCTTTGATATATTCTTCAGCATTCGTCGACGAATTAACTATTTAAACCCTCAAATGATCTGAAAAAATCGGGATCATTTCTAATCAAGCCAATACAATCATCAAACGCTGCTCAGCCCGCTCGCTTAATTCCAAGGACGTCGACGTTTTCAATCACAAATCATGGCCGAGACAGTGGGCACCCAGGTGCAAACAGAGGTCATACTCTCGAGCTCTGAAGTCGATAAATACCTCCACAAAGATGTCCAGAAAGAGGCTGCACTGGCCGCGATGGCAGCTAATTATGATCATCAAAGATTCAAACAGCTAGATACTTACGACGGCGAGTTCGCAAAGTATTTCAAGGCTATCAAAGATGAAAAAAGAAAAGCCAAGTTCACCAAGGAGACCTTGGAAACTGCGAAAGCTCTTCAGCCGGCCATTGACTACTACGTTAAGGTACTGCCCAACGAGCTCCTCGGCCTGCCCTTTTTCTGCGACAAGAACGAGAGTGCCCATAGCGCCCATTTTGGCTCATTGCCGTCGGTAGAGGAGTCTGATTTTCGACGTGGTCTATACCGGCTCCAAGCAATTTGTGAGGTTACTCGCCAATCCTACGACCGAGGACGCGGTAACATCATGAGCCAATACCATCATGATAGAGACAAGATGTCGCCCTATTCTAGTATGGAGCTAAGCCAAGCCAACTTGCTGTATGAAATGCTTTTCTATCGCATGTTTCAAAGTATGTATCCAGTACCCTTCCGGTAGGGTTATATAACTAACCTAGGCTTTTGAATAGTCTGCGACAAGCTCTTTGACAGCATGGAGGAAAAGGAATGCAGGCCCAATCCGGTGGCCCGGAAGTCGCGCGAAAAGAAGATCGTCCATGGCATCGTATGTCAGGGCCTACAATTCATGTACGAGTTTGAAACGCAAACCACCGATGGGGTCAGGGAGGAGCTTGTCCAGAAGATCAGCAAAGGTCACTGGGTTAGGCCACGATTCTGGCGCGACCATATCCAGCGGAAGTCCTGCACGACCCAACTTCGAGAAGAGCTGTGTCGCATTCAGAGAGTCTGTGATAATCGACTCGGGTATACTCCACGTGCTTGTCGAGACGGTCCCTGTCAAGAATGTAATGTCAAGCATGTAATTATTACGAAGAGGAGCTGCCCCTACCTACTCGCCGGACACTGAGGGAGGCTGGAGAACTCATACTCACTCATCTAGAGAAGATGAAGAAGAAACTAGGACGGCCGCCGCAGGTGCCAGGTGAAGAGACCGAGACCGGGCATATCCATCCTGCCAGTGACAACTAGATCGCCTGCTAGTGTTGGCTGGTATTTCGGAATATAGGTAGTTTTAAATGATTCATAGTTTGCTCCCCTAAGAAGACCAATGCACATACTCGTGATCTGATCATTTCTAACTCATGCTTGACTTGTGTCTACTGCTTTTGGCAGGTTTCCCTCTCCTGGCATTCGGAACGGAGGGGGGGCTTAGTACAAAGCAGGCGTGAGCCTAAGAATGAAATCTAATCGTAAGCACCTGCCAATTTTCTTCTTCCTAGTCGGTGAATCCGAGCTGTTTAGGCCTGTAGTGAAACGAACAATGGATGGGCTTCAGTGATGGGCATCAGACGTAGCGTGAGTAAATGCCCAGAATAAGGGCATGCGGATGAGTTTGTTTGAGTACAAAGTCAAAAACAAACAATGAAGATGCCAGGTCCGATATCTAAGCAATGAATGGCAGGCTGAGGGTATATTCATGGAATAGCACCCATCTTGGTATTTTAGGCCACGTGAGGCGCCATGGCAGATAAAAACGGCAAGCAACCTGTGATGACAGGAGTAGCGAGAGTATTGGATTCCCGTCGCTGTCATCGCAAAATATGGCGGAAAATATCAACGTCAACTGGCCGGCACAGATCTTCCCATCAAGCCCTTAAGTTTCTCAATGCATTCGCCGAGGTTGTTCAGTTCTGCGATATCTGAATGGGCGAGCCCTTTTACCGGTATCCTCAACCAAGTGTTTAAGCGTTGCCCACCCGACGAGTTGGCACCAATGAAGGGCTGATAAACGCAACCAATATAGTGGGAAATTCGACGTAGAATGCACTCCTCATCCGCTACGACACCAAAAGATAAGCAGCGGCATATGCCCAGCCGGTATCAGAATACAACAAGTTGTTTCGTCTCGCAAGTAAGCCCCTTAACTCTACCTCTGTTGACGTCTCCAGACGAGATGCCAGAATTGCAGGTGTGCCAGCTGAATACCACACTGGTATAGCGCCGTGGCAAATCTCATGTAGGTTTAGCAGAGTATTGTGACAGCAGCTGTACGTCCCTCGAGGCAAGGTAGCCAGACTGATTCAAGTATCATCTTGAAATATTCGAATACGATGGCCGGATTACGTGCACCTAAGCCAAGGCCCGGGGATCAATTTATAAGCACTTGCTTGTCCCAAGCATCAGCACCTATACTTAGCCCAATTCATCTGTTTGGAAGCTGCTCCCTACGGATGCACGCCTTCGTACCGCCTCGCCTTCGGAAATAGTGCACATGTGACCTGCTGTCTTTCGCCATGGAAACCACAAGCCCATCATTCATATACTTGGGGCGCTTATCAGGGTCGACGTGGTCAATCCAGCGGCAATGACTGACACTGCCTGAAGCTGTTGGGGGCAGAATAATTGAAACCGGAATAGGGCCCCGCGGCTAAATACGCGTATCAACAGTGGCTGTAGCTGATTAGCTCGTCTCCAAATTTATCATCTCGCATTTGGCTGACTGAAGCCAAGTGGGCGAGTTCAGCTGGTTGAACCATGAGCCAGCCGCCGTCCTGCCTCATCTTACTTGTTGGATTACCGCCAGTCAACTTGCATACCAAACAGGCCTCAGCCAATGCGGCCGAGCAGAATTGCTGAAATGTGTGCCGATCGATTGATCATAACAGAGGATTGGCAAACTCAAGCGCCATGGCCAGCACCCGCAGAAATGTCTGGGGCTGAATTGCCACAAGGGCACAGCCTTCTAGCCATTTCTGACCTACTGCAGTGTATTATTAGTTATTGTCTATTCGAAACAAGGTGGTCAGCAAGGAGCCAGGGGTGGTCTCAACCGCCATAATCGGCAGTCAGCAGCATATTCTCCGGCCAAAATCATTGGACCAACTATAAGGCATCGGGACTGGCGCTTGCATAGCCTGCTCATTGCATTAGCAAGACATTACCGAGCTGCTGAGAGGGTGGGCGAGCCCCGACGATCCGCCTCTCGCCCAACGCATTAATAAGTGACTGCCCCTTCATCGTACGTGACAAGCGTAACATTGCATTCAGCATCTTTCTTTTCCATTCTTTGTCCAATCAATCCAGCATGCACCAGTCTTTCTACGGCTATAATCTCACACGGCCGTACCCCTACAGGTGGTTTACCCCTGTGTTAATCATCGGCGGGTGTATTTTTACGGTCCTTTTCTCATTGCTCAACGTTGCCACGAATGGCTACGAACTGACCGCCAAATCAACCTCGGATCCCAATTCGACCCTGATTGAGAGAGACTGGCTCAGCTCCGTGCCGTCCTTCCTCAGAGGCGTGCGCTCGCAGTGTGACAGCACCATCATACCGCTGCAGAGCCTACTAAAAACAAACAACTCGGCCTTGCCGTACACAGTCGACAGAGTGTGGAGAAGAACGGAAGATGGCGGGAAGGAGACTTTGGGATCCTTGGTGTATCATAACCAGCCGCTGCAAGAGTGCCGAGTCATATTCGTCGAGACCAACATCGAGGTCCAAACTCGCTCAGCATCACAGCTGGCCAGAATACCTGTTGGAGGGGCAGTGGAAACCAGGGTAGAGTGCTTCTTCGAGAGCGAAGATGGCCGGACCTTCCTCCAGCTGTCGTCCGTCTACGACCCTATCCCAACCTCGAACAGCTCAGTGCAGTACTTTTTGTATAGCAGCCCGACCAAGCAAGCGAACCTATACTGGGGCTCGTGGTTGATGCGCATCTACTGGGCAGACATCATGCGGACCTTCGCAAAACACAATACAGAGGAAAAGAATAGATGGATCAGCGCCAACCTCCAGGTCAAGTACTCGTCTTCCAGGCCCGAGATCACGGACGACGATATGAGAAGCCCCGACTTCTTCTACGTTTCGTGCTTCTTCAACAGGAAAGGCGACGGTGCAGTCCGGGGCGACTTCGACTTCGATGTCTGCAGCAACGGCAACAACAACATCACGGCCCTAAGCAGCGACAGCGCAGGGGCGCTGGAGATGTCAGACTTTTGGTCATCGTACAACATCCTCTCCAAGGCCCTATATTACACCACTTTAGCGGATCTCGGCCGCGACGACAGGTCCATCCCCAACCTGCTCAGCCGCCGCGCGCTGGTCGAGGAGCTGAGCCGGGACCTGAACAAGACGCGGCAGGGCCTGGCCCCCGCGTGGCAATGGGGCATCGGTCCCGAGTTCCCCAGCGGCAAGGCCTTCTCCGCCGCCGACTACTCCGACGCCGACATGCAGGTAACGCCGTCGGTCCTGGCCTCGACGTACCTGTGCAAGGTGCGCAGGCTCAAGGACCCGGCGAGGCTCGTAATGGCCGTGCTCGTGTCCAACCTCGTGTTCCTGAGCGCGCTGTGGACGGCGTACATCTGGATCGTCGACGTGTTCCTGGTGGGCAGGGCGACCATCCTGGAGCTGGATCCTCACCCGGCGCAGAGCAATGGGCGCGCGTCCCCGGCTTCCATGTACGAGACGGAAATGACGCCGCTGAAGCCCGAGTTTCAGAAGGGTGTGTCGGGTGGCAGTTCTTCGGTGGACGACTTTGGGAGGGTTGCGAGGTAGTTTTTCGGTCGGCACCGGCGTTTTAGTGTTTACTTGTCATAACAAAGCAAAAGATTCTACTACCTTTGATCATTCAAACTTTGCGGGATGTTTCGGACGTAGCTTGATGTTTTGTTTCAAAATTGCCCTTCACGTTGACGGACGCCCAGGTGGTAGATAAAAAAGAGCATAAATTTACCTAAGGATGGCGTGAATGCTGGCACACAATTATCTACTGGCTCAGCAGACGCCAGAGATAAACTGCATCCATTCGAGAACTCACGGATTTGTTCTCAATGGTACATCATCTATGCTTATGAGATATCTCTGTATAGAAAAGAGGGTTCATTGTGACCATCCATTGGTAATGCGCTTCTTTCACTGAGTCTTCTTTGTGATAGATCTTTGTAGCAATCCGTCAAAGCTAGGACAACGAACACTGGCTATCTTTCACATGGTTTGAAAAGTCTGACCGCCACTAGAGGAAGAATTCGATCGTGCAAAGTTAAAGAACCTGCCTTTATCACAAAATCATTGAGGAATTACAACGCGTTTGAGTCTTGAAAATAGACGGTAACAATTGCGTCCAATCTCAATCAAGTGTCAATCGATTGATACTAATATTGTTGTTCTTTTGGCTAGTTGGTTCCATTGTCGAAGAACTTCCAGGGATGACTGTATGCGCTACAGACGTCATCATGCTCTCATTCAACTTTCGTCTTCCGGCTACATGCTGAATAATTCTAGCGGCAGCCGAAATGATGACAACCTTGTGGCTGTGTGGTCATGCTTATGAGAGAAACCAGCGCCGTGACGGATCTTGCTCGAGTCATGTCAAGTCTAGGGTAGCAGATAATGAGGAATGCGCCACCAATCAATTGCGCAGCAATTGATTTTGCCAGCTCAGCCACAACAACAATGTCTCCCTCGTCCATCATCGCGACCTCTGCTGGTCTGACGCTGCCGTAATACAAGCCAGTAAGCACACGGGCATTGATCCCGAGCGCAAGCCTACCCGAGCATGAGTGAGCCAACCTTCTCCCAATTCGGCCAACTTCCGCAGGAGCTGCAGTCCGCAATCTGGGATGCAGCTTGCCTTGTGCCGGGGCCGGCCGCTCATCGATTCATCATCCACGGCCAGGGCTTTCTTGCCCGGACCATCAGGCTGAGCTCGATCAGAGGCAGCCCTCTGAAACTCGGCACCGCCTACACGCTGCTCGTGCCGTGGGACAACAACGACTCCGCCTATCTTCTCAACAGCGCGCTCTGGACTGCCTCGACTGCCTCGCGGGCCGCCATGCTGAGGCGGTACAAGAAGAACGAATGGTGGGCAGACGCACGCAGAGAGCACCCCGGCCAATTACCAAAGAAGCTCGCAGGACGTGGCCAGTATGGTGAAGAGGGCGAGGCAGCGCACACCGCGTCATACACCGATCCAAATGGCAATATACGATATATCACGTTCCTCGGTGAAGACCTGATCCATCTTGACCCCTTGGGAGTTGACTCTGTCGATTGGTTTCATCACTATGCTTCAGATAGCCTTCCCCTGATCAACTACCGAGGTCTGGACCGCTCCACGTCGGAGGCGGGCTTCCTGCCCTTGAACATTGCCATCGACTACGACCCGGCCATGCTACACCTCATGGAGGGTCGCCCCGTTCATCGATGCGACGGGCCCCTGAAGATGTCGCAGCCCGGCATCTTAGACATGGTCACCTTGCTACACGAGCTGGCGGGTAGGAGCCTCTGGTTCGTTGACCATCGTCTCAAAAAGCGCGTGGTCGATTCCAAAGCAACGCCGGTCCCGTCTAACCAGCCCCCCGCCATTCAAAAGATAGTGGACGATGAGAGGAAGAGGTTCTACGGGAGTGATACCACCTACGTTGAAGTTCGACGCGATGATATGCACCTATGGGAGATGGACGCAGATGAAAGCTCCCCGTTTGAGTTTCTCGACAGCCTGAGCAGCAACATTGAGGATCTGTCGAGGGTGAAGATACTGGCTTGTCAGATGGCGCTTGGAAAGCCGCCCCGGATGAAAATCCCCGAGAATTCAGGGTGCGATGTCTGCAGTCCGCCTCCTCCAAGACGGATGAGGCCGCGCGATCCTCCGGCTGATGAGTCTGATAGCGATTCAATTACGTCGGCCGATCTAAATCTCTTCGACTAAGGTGAGGGAGGAAAGGACCGGTCTCGGGAGCACTTATTCGGAACAAGGATGACAACAGTAGCAAAGTTGGAGACAGACTGAAATCTGTAGTGCAAAGTATTATTAATTATAATTTCAAAAGCTGGGAGACTTTCACATCTTTGATCTCACGTGGTTCGGCTGAGGTGATGGATGTGGTGGATCTTTCCATCCATGTCCAAAGCCAATCTTCATCGAATCTGCATCTGTGGGGTCAAGATGAAGACAAGGGATCGCAGCTGGAAAATCGCTCGAGACCGTAGATAATGCAAATCATACCCCTACCAATGGCCCGAAATTCATATCCGAAAACCGGACCGGCCGGCGTGATCTGATTGCCCGGTGACGTGCTAGTTGTAGATAATCGCTAGTTCCAACCCCATTATGGCGTGATCAAGAGCCTCTCAGACGTTATCAACATGCAGGAAGAGGGGATCTCCACAGCGAAGACGATGAATACCTGGTGAGTCGCTCATTGAGCCTCGTTTCATCCCCGTTTCCCGTTGTTGAATCCTGAAAATATCCCACCCATAGTCAGGTCAGACAAGACGCTGCTGGTGAATATCTAGTCATCAGAAGAAATGGCACCGCATTCCGTCGATGACAGCGCTCTACCAGAGCTGCCGAAGCCACCTACCACGAAGAAACCCAATCCTTTTGCCTTGCCACTCAGGGAAAAGCCACTCCCAAGGTCTACGCTCCAAATCCAGGACAGATTCATCGATGAGCCTGATCGTCTTCGGGTAGCCATTATTGGTGCTGGCCTCACAGGCATCGAGGCTGGTGTCCTCCTCCCGGCAAAGGTTCCCAATATTGATCTGGTGATATACGAGAAGAATGCCGACGTGGTATGAATTGCTCACTTGAATCCACCCCAATGCTGTTGTTGATGAATCTAGGGAGGCACATGGTTCGAGAATATTTATCCCGGTGTGAGGTGCGACATTCCTGCGCATGTGTACCAGAGCAGCTATGAGCCCAACACGCAATGGACAGAGGAGTTTGCGCAGGGCCCCGAGATTCGAGCGTGAGTCGTTCCAAGCGTCATACGCTGTCCCCTTCCTCTGACACTTTTGTCGTTAGATACTGGCAAAATATCGCCGAGAAATACGGGGTGTACAAACATATCAAGTTTGGTCACAGAGTGGATGAAATAACCTGGAATGAGGACACGTCCGAATGGACGGTTGAGGCCCATGACTTGAAGAACGCCTCTACACATTCGGCGAAATTTGACTTCGTTGTCACGGCCATCGGTCGGTTCAACGCTTGGCGTTTGCCAGACTATCCAGGAATCTCTGAATTCAAGGGGCTCCTACGCCATACGTCAAATTGGGACCCAACCTTTGATCCATCTGGCAAGAAGATTGCCGTTATTGGGAACGGGGCGAGCGGTATCCAGCTTGTGGCTAACATCCAGCCTCGAGTCGCATCTCTAGACCACTACGCCCGAAATAAAACAGTGAGTGGCATACACGAGCCATTACAGTGCACAGCTAACCAGGTATCTATCAAAGTGGGTGGCCAAGTCATTCGCAGGCGATGAGACGGACATCAAGCCCAAAACAATCCCACAGGATCTGCGGGATTCTTTCAGTGACCCGGATGTCTACCTGAAGTACAGAAAAACCATCGAGGGAAAGTACTGGAGGGGTTTCCAGAACAACTTCAAGGGCTCTAAGGGACTCGATAATACCACCAAAGAACTCATTGATGTTGCGAAAGAGAGGACGGCGAGCAAACCAGGCCTGGTCGAAAAGCTCATTCCTGACTTCCCGCCTCACTGCAGGAGGTTGACGCCTGGCCCTGGCTACTTTGAGGCCATCACCTCGGACAACGTCAACTACATCCAGGATCGCATCAAGCGGTTCACCGAGACGGGGATAGAAACCGAGGACGGCACACATCGAGAAGTGGACGCTATCTTTTGTGCGACTGGGGCGAACGTGGATATGGTTCCCCCCTTCAACATCCGCGCGTTCGGTCAGAATCTCCCGGATCTCTGGCGCGAAGGGGGAGCTCACGGTTTCCCATACAGCTACCTCGGGATAGCCACGCCCGGGTTCCCTAACCTCCTGTTTCTTCTTGGGCCCAACGGGGCGGGCAAGTCTGGAAGCGTCCCGCACGCCGTGGAGGTGAATGTGACCGTCGTGGCCAAGATTCTGCGCAAAGTCTCCAGGGAGGGGATCAAGGCCATAGCACCCTCGGTTCAAGCTGCGGATGATTTCGTGCAGTATGCAGACGCATTCTTCAATCAGACTGTCCTGTCAGAGGACTGCAGCTCCTGGTACAACAGCGGGAAAGCTGGAAGCCGAATTCATGGACTCTGGCCGGGTAGCGGGGCACATATGAGTGTTGTGCACCGGGAGCCTCGCTGGGAAGACTGGGTATACGAGTATAAGACACCAGAGAATCGGTTTGCTTGGTACTTTGGGAAAGGGTATACCGCTCAGGAGGTTGATCCCGAGTCTGATATGACGGAGTATCTGTTAAAGCCTGGCCCTGTGGATCTTAGAGCACTATATGAGCAATGGTGGAGGATACACTAGGTGCGAAATCTCGATTGTAGAAATTCAACCTCATCCAATATACACTTAAATCCAAATTGTGGTCCATGAAAATGAAGTGAAAGGAGCCATCGTTGCATCATAAACCGCCCACATAGCTGGGTCTGTCCATTGCGCGATGTAACATAATGCCCCAAGCACATCCAAGTATCTATGAATTCTATCAAGCTATTGACTATGAATACGGTAAGAGAAAGAGCGTCGTAGTGTCTTGTCGAGCGGGTGACGTGAACCACGCACAGTACACGACTTCTAATCCAGAAGCTATGATGTTGGCCTTTTTTTATTCGTTCACAATAACCACAACCAAACACACAATAACATTGCGTCCCGATTATTATGTTGAGCTTAGTCGCAATACTCTATTCATGGCCTTGGTCGTGTGTTATACACTTAACTATGTCCTTTGGTACTTCATCACAACTATAAATGAATCTTGGCAAGTACCGTCGTCAAGAGCACTGAGATGGCTTGTTTGCTACTAACCATTTTAACATTTTTGTCACATTCGTCGCAGCCTCTGTTCGTGGTTTTGCCGCTTCTCTCCTCAAAACAGCTACGCGATTTTGTCTCCCCTAGAAGATACGGATCAGATTTCCTCGTGGCCCAGGATTATTTATTTAACGCGCGGTTAGATTCCCAATATGGATGGTGAGATTCAAAGAGCAATAGCTGTCATGGCACGTACCAATCGCATTTGGAAACATAGGCCGGGCATCAGTTTTTAGCCTGGCACTCACAGATGGCGCTAGATAAGGAGATGATGATGGTCCCTTCTAGCGGATGCCTTGAGTCAAATTGCTATACAGTAAACCACTTATCCTTGATGTCATCCATCTTAGACTAAACTATTCAATGCTTGTAATTTACGTTTGAACTACGATATCATCGGATGGTTGGTTTCCGTAAACGGCATTGCCTCAAACGTACTCCCACAGACGTGGTCGGATATGATTTTTGAGGGCTCGGCTGACTGATGTGCGATCACAAATTTGCCAGCAAGACCAAGCTTCAAACAGCACTGAGACGGCTATCTCATTTGCCCTTCCCAGGTTTCTCTCACAGCTTTCCAGTACCTACCCTCATCTCCACATACGTGCGGAAACCCCATCTGAGTATCTAATGTCTTTAGCCATAATTGCGTTTTCCTCTACTTAGCAAGGGAGTTGTCTACAGAGCTAGCCAGCTGTGAACTTCTGATATAAGTTGGCTCATCAGTGGGGCGAGTAGCTGTTCGAGGCGCCGCGCCACTACTCTAGCCAGCTACATTACCTTGAACAGTCTATTCGTTTCTCAAGTACGCATGTCCATAAAGCCAGGTATCAGCTTAAACTAGGCGTTTTATATAACGAGATCAATTTTTCGTTACTCATGTTGCAAAATCAAGGCTCCAAATCCCGAAATAATTCATGTTCGTACATTATGCCACGGCTACAGGTACCGATGCAGCATGCTCGGTGGCAGGTGAGCTACCCGCCGCAACCTTGGACTCATATGACTTGTGATAGATTCTCACGAGTGCCATGATAGCCAGTGCCAAGAACGTCTCCCCCATCTCTCCGCTCAACGCCGGCCCATGGAATTCGAACACTCCCAGCTCGGTATTCCTCTTGACGTAGTCGCTCTTGCAGTGCCAGGTGGCCAGTGCAGGCGCCTCCGAGGGCGACCCTGCCGAAACAAGCGTCCAGTCCCTACCCATTCTCCCTTTCCGCCATTCAAAGGTATCGATGGTGCCTCGGACTGGGGCAGAGAAGTAATGGGACGTCCCGCTCCTTTGGAGCTCACTGTCGAAGCCATTCACGGAAAGGGTACACTTGGACCTCATGGGGTTCTTCTCTGCACCATCTGCCACTACCTGGCCGAAACTTGTGTCTCTGACTGTCGTCCTTCCGCCGCTCGTGCCCAGCTTGGCCATATAAGACGGATGGGCCAATGGCTGGTTTCCTAGCTCTATTGTTGCACTGCCTGTGATGGGCTTCACCCTGCTCCACATATGGAAGGTCGGGGCAAGATTCTGAAACCCGACCTGGGGCTGAACGGGGGCAGCGCGATGTGACTTGTTCCGGGCCGAGATCTGGCTAGGTTTGGGTGGTGGAACTGGGGGAACATCGAATCCATGCCGTGAGTAGCCTTCGACATAGCCATGTGGTGGCTGCGGCCCCACGTGTTCTTGGGGGAGTGGGGGAAGCTCCTTGTTCTTTGATAATGCTAGGCTGGGAAGGGGTCGAGAAGAGACAGAGCCATTGTGGCCTGCGTGGTCCTGGGAGGCCATCGTTCTTGCAACAGCTGCAGACATGTTGCCCCGCAGACTTCCTTATTCTTCGGGTAACGATACAAATGCGTCGTGGAGATCTTTGAAGATCACTATTAGCCGAGTAGGCGTGGAGGTTGTATGCCAGATGCGATCCAGTAGTT